TGAATGAAAATAAATCCTGCATACTGGATATTTACATTACATTACAATTCATAGCAGTAGCAAAATTACAGTTATGAAGTAGCAACAAAAATAATTTTATGTTTGGGGGTCACCACAACATGAGGAACTGTATTAAGGGGTCAAGGCATTAGGAAGGTTGAAAAACACGGTCCTAGACTTTTAAAATATGAGTCCAGGATTTTTGTTATTGTTGTTAGAATTTTTTTTTAAATCCAGAAACATTGATCAATCAAAGAAAATAAATTTGTGGTGATAGAAATGACCCCTCAATTCTTAGTAAGATGGCCTTGTCAGAATATCTTTTTATTATCTCTGGTGTTTACAGAGTTGAATGAACCTATAGAGATTTATCTGGGTGTGTTTTTTAATGGACTTCACATGCTAATAAAGCCATATCAACACTCCCACAAAGCATTTGTTTATTTACTCTATTTATATCCTGCCTTTCTCTACCCCAGGGGGGGACTCGAGGCAGCTTACATAGAGGCAGTTATTGACTCCAAATGAACACTGGACGAAGTGCCATCTTACATCCTGAGATATCATACTCTCTATTGAGTACCAAATGAACTAATCCAAGCAATATGGAGGGGTGATAACTGAGAGTTGCTAATGAATTGTGGGAAATGAAAGATTACAGAGCTTTTATTTATCCAACAATAATTTGTTTTGTTATTTAATTTGGTTTGTTATCTTGTTTTTCCCCATTTGGGACCCAAAGAAGCTTACAGTGATCATTAAACTAATAGAGCCAAAACAATATGTAATGATTCATTCAAAAACATCAACAGTTTTAAAATACATTAAATCCTGCTCCACATGAAGAACCAGCAAGCCCACTTCAAACTTGAAGGGCAGTTTAAATAAAGGGCTTGCCCTCCTCACTCTCACACACACACACATACACAAATATAGATTTCAAAGGACAAATTGTATGGGTATAAGAGAAGGTAAAATGAGAGACAGATTCAGAATAAAAGTAAAGAAGTTACAATTTGATCATATGCTTTCCTAGAACATTGTAATTCCAGAGCCGACAGTGTCGACGTGCAGTAGGCAGCAGTCCTCTCTTATATTTTCTTACACAGAACAGCTGTTTATTTCATTATACACCTAACTTTGGCAAGAAGAAACTGATGACTTTTCACTGTGCCCTTCATAGGAAAATTGTTGAGCACAATTTATTACTGCTAACTTAAAACCCACCCAAAATCACTAAGGGTAGGTGGATGGTTTTTTCTAAGAATGCTGCACTAAAAATATTATGAAACAGTAGCCTAAATATTATTAAATTAAATATTTTGGGGAGGGGTTCTCCACAAAAGGAAGTAACTAGCATAGCTTCCCATTCATATATTTGGCTAATATGCATTACTTTTATGGTCTGCAAAAGCTGGATCATACAAAGGTCATAGGGAAGGCGATTCACTGCTCAGAGGAGAGAAACAAATAATTTTGCAGTACACTCTGTTTTGCCATTCCCCCCCCCCTCAGATTCCCTTTCTGCTACTTAAGAATATGAATGAATATCTGTTTTGTTTTGTTTTTTTGTTCTTGTGTTTTTGTACTTGTTATGTACAAGTACAACAAATTATTGGCAACCCTATCATGGGAGGCGGAGAGTGAGTGACTTGCTCAAGGTCACCCAATGGGTTTCCATGGACAAGCAGGGAATCGAACCCCAGTCTCCAGAGTAATTATCCATCACTCAGATCACTACACACAGTGGCTCTCAAAAATGCAGATACTAATCGATATTGATATCAATATGTCAAAGTGTGTTTGTTTGTTTGTTTGTTTGTTTGTTTGTTGTTTGGTTGATTGATTTATACCACAAAAGCTCCAACATGGCATGATGGAACTGAGCCAAAATTCACACACATATCCTTCATTTTGCATACCAAAATAAACTTATTTGGCAGTTTTTGGAGGAGCATAAAGTGCTACCAATGTAATTATGTGGAGATCTCAAACCACAACAGCTAGTAATAGTATAACAAAGTTCTCCTGGTATTCCTCTAGTCCAGTGTTTCTCAAACTGTGCTCCTCCAGATGTTTGGGACTTCGGCTCCCACAATTCCTAGCAGCTAGTAAACTGGCTTAGATTTCTGGGAGCTGAAGTCCAAAACATCTAGAGGAGCACAATCAATCAGTGTTCAGTGTGGTATGGGATCGACACTTTATTTAATACCATCATGTAGCCATTACAGAATCTAGGGAAATATATCCCACAAAGAAGTACTCCACAATTTGTCTGATGCTGAGTTCCATTTGCTGATTTGATTTAGACATTTTGGAGGAATAGGTGAGAATTTGGTTGTTACATGACTACTGTGGGGTATGGTTTATTTATTTATTTATTTACTTTATTTTTATACCGCATTTTTCAGCCTAATTCGGGGTATGGTTAAACCTTCTACAGTTTGTACAAGAGTAACAATCTTTCTCAAAATGGTGCTTGGGAAGGATGAAGTTAGGTTGGTCATCAGCCATGATTGTTTGGCCAGTATCCTGCCTAGCCATTCATTGATGCAGAGAAGAGTAATTCTAAATAATGCAGTTAAGGTGCCTGTTTATCAAGGAGAGATAATTGAAGACAATACAGCCCCCCTACATCCATAGAGAATACACAACAAGATTCTCCATAGATACCTGAAGCTATGGATAATAGCAAATCCTATATGTTGACAATACTTGAACCAGACACATACTATAGAATGGAACTGGAGCAGCACTTCTAAGTGGGAGTGTGGGTAAGTTTCTCCCTCCCCTGCTCCCCAACAGTGAGAAATGCATTTGCTAGGACAACTTTGTCTGCAACCTGTGTAATGACTTGGTTTTGTCGCTGTACAATAATCTGTAGGACTCTCAAGAGTGTTCCTGTGAACATATTTTATAGAACGGCTCTGAAATTGTGAAAGCTTTCTTGTCCTATACAGGAGAAGAATGTGTCTTGTGTTATAATTAATCAAGCCAGCTTTGTAATTATAATTGCTCCCTGCCCTGAAAGTGTTGTCATCATTTAATGATTCCCTCAAGCTATTAAGGTCCCTGGATGACTGCAATTAACAATTTAGATTTGCATTTGCTGTACTTATTTACTTGTTTGTCTTTTTAAAGCATACTATGCCAGTTCATTTTAAGATACACTGCTGGACACACTTTGCGTAAGAGAAGCAAATCCTTGATGTTAAATATTACTCTACATTTCATCAGACTGTAGACATAATTAACTAATTCATTCACTCCCCGATTGCACAGCCATTAGCATTTGTTTATTTAATATTCTAGTATTTATAAATGTGTGTAGCCAACCATGCTGTTAAGTACAACACAATGGATGACCTTTAAATAAAACAATAGCAATGGACAGGCTAATGGTACATATGACTCCAGCGACTGCCAAGGAAATTCCAGAATCTCATAAAGGATTTCAGAAGCTACACTGTTAGCTCCAGAAAAGGAATGAAAATGGGAATTTATGTTCCAGTTCTGTTGCATCCCCTTTCAGGATTGTCCACATTTGTATTATACTATATGGCATTTATCAGTACAAAAAATGAACATCTGTCTAGAAATCCATTTCTATTCTCACCTTCTGGTCTCTGTCTGGCTACTTATCTGGTGGCTGGACCTCCAGCATCACCACCAACAACAGAGAACATGAGAGAGAATGACAGTTAAACGCATGCCCTACTCGTAGTCTTCCAATAGACCCTGGCTAGTCCTGGTGAATAATATATTGGACTAGATTGGCCTTTGGTCTGATTCAAAGGGGTACTTTATTTTCTTATATGTCCTACAAGTAACCGAAACAGAATTTTGAAGAAACCCCAAAAGCCATCCAGCCAAATTGCCTGTCGTACAGAAGCACACACTAATTGTCAGGAGTGAAAGAACTCCTGACAATTTTTAAATTTATTCTATTTATATTATTTGTATCCAGCTTTCTCTCTGTGTGTCAAGAAGACTGAAAGCTGCTAACAATTAAATTTGTGCAATGGCTATCCAGCCTCTCTTTTAAATCCTTCAGAAAAGGAGACTCTGCCACACTCCAAGTCAATGTATTTCACTGTCGATTGGCTCTTACCATCAGAAAGTTCTTCATGTTTATATCTTTAGAGATGTCTTTTTGATGTCAGTTTGAATCCATTGCTGTTTGTCCCAGTTTATTCTCTTGCTTCTTCAATATGACTTTCTTGCTCTTTCAATATGGCTTCAAATATTTAAACATAGTTATTATATTCCTTCTCAGTTTTCTCTTCTTCAGGCTAAATATAAGTAAAGGTTAAGATTTCCCCTCCATATTAAGTCTAGTCGTGTCTGACTCTGCTGGGTCATGTTCATCTCCATTTGTAAGACAAAGAGTTGGTGTTGTCCGTAGACACCTCCTAGGTCATGTGGTCAGCATGACTGCATGGAGTGCCATTACCTTACTGCAGAAGCAGTACCTATTGATCTATTCACATTTGCATGTTTTTGAACTGCTAGGTTGGCAAGAACTGGAGCAAGTTCAGTAGCTCAGCAGTTTAACCCGCTGTGTCACCAGGCTCAATATACTCAGTGCCAAAGCCAGTTTGGTTTACAAACCTTGTATCATTTTACTCTTTTCTGGACATAATCTAGCTGATCAACTTCTTTCTTGAATAGTGGTGCTCAGAACTGGACATAGTTTTCCAGGTGAACTCAGAAAAAAGCAAAATAGAGTGGAACAGAAGAAGTTTGGTCTACAGAGTCTTTTCACAAATCATGGAAGAATCTGGGGAACACAGACAGTGGTGCAATCATATCACTTAGCATCGTTTTTAAGAGTTTAAAAATGAGGATCTGAGTTTGGCTGGGTTTATTTAACAGATTTTACTACCATGGAAAGCTACGGTAGTTATTATTTCACTTAGTATCTTTCATACACTGTAATTACTGGTATGCTTATGAGCTGTCTTTTACCTCTTTTCATACTAGTTCGCACTTATACAAACCTGAAAAAGCTCATTAGTTCCCATTCAGCTGATAAGAAGTACAGTGTTGCAGCCTCTCCTGGCTTGTGGCAACTATAAAAAGCAAAATAGAAAAAAGGAGAAAGCAGATTAGCTGCCATAGCATATAAATAAAAGATAGATCTATAATGGAAATTGGAAGAAAAGTGAACACTATTCAAAGAAAAAAAAGTAATCCTGGAATGCATTTTAGAAGAAGCTTACATGCAGTCCCTAGGATATTCAAAACATTTTGGTTTTTTAGGCAAGGTTTCCTGACTGGGTTGCTCTATCTCATATAATAATTTGGAATAAAAAAGTTTCCTGAAACATTGTGAAGTAAAGGTAAAGATTTTCCCCTGACATTAAGTCCAGTCGTGTCCAACTCTGCGGGTTGGTGCTCATCTCCATTTCTAAGCCAAAGAGCCGGCGTTGTCCATAGATACCTCCAAGGTCATGTGGCCGGCATGACTACATGGAGCACCATTACCTTCCTGCAGAAGCAGTACTTATTGATCTACTCACATTTGCATGTTTTCAAACTGCTAGGTTGGCAGAAGCTGGGGCTGACAGCAGAAGCTCACACCGCTCCCCTGATTCAAACTTTTGCAACTTTTTGGTCAACAAGCTCAGTGGTTTAACCCACTGCACCACTGAGGGTTCCATGAAACATGGTGAACTTCTGTTCTTTTCTCTGGTGTAGGAACCTTTCTTTACATTTTAATTTTACTTCTGGAACCAAGGCTTCTGACAAAGAAGAAAAATCAAAGAGTACATTTACTTCACTAACTGAAGTATATCTATCTTTGTAATCATGGGCAGTGGGAAATAGCAGGTCAAATTTGAAATGGAAAGCTCAATCTCATCTTTCTTGGCTTGTAGTCTGAAGCCTCTTATCTGCTCTGATTCTGGATGTCTGAACAAGTTCGGTCTTACGCTTACGAATCACTTGGTGTAAACTTAACAGCAGGAACTGGAAAGGGTTCAGGAAATATCATGCTGAGATGTAAGGCCTCCTGGATTCCAATCAACCTCTCACCCAGGAGAAAGGCCCATGGTTAAAGGCCAGCTCCTAATTATAACAACAGATTTGGAGTCATTCTCGATCATGTCAAGTTTCCTAGCAAAGACTAAAAGGCATGAAAGGGCTTGTACCATCTTGTCCTTCACTTTAACATTGCTGCCATGTAATGCTCCAATTTATATCACATAAAGGCATAGTTCAAGTAAAACATCTGGCTGTCAGACATCATAAACTGACTCTGCTAATATCACATATGTCTTCATTTAACTTCAAAAGTTAAATAAATACAAAACTTCCTGCCACTACTTTTATTAAATACTCTGGTTAACTGGGAGAATACTAACTACCACCAGACTATATTTATATAGGCTATATTTTGGAAGAAGAATCTGGGAAAACCACCTGTGAACATTCCTTGTCTAAGACAACCCTATGAAATTCATGAGATCACCATAAGTCAATAGACAACTTGAAGGTACACACATACATACACACATATTATATATTAACATCTAAGGTAATATACAGTCAGAGATGTATCAGAATTTCATAGAAATGAAAAATTAAATCATATATGGTGCTTTGGGTGTCAAGACAGGAAAGTGGTATAGAAGAAGACGAAGAAGAAGAAGAAGAAGAAGAAGAAGAAGAAGAAGAAGAAGTAAAGGGGTTATTACCTTTGTGTTATGTGTTATCCTGAAATATTCACAGTTGTAACCTTTATGTGCAATTCCACCTCTGAGTATTCCTTGCCTGAGAAAATCCTATAGAATTCATATGATCACCATAAGTTAACAGGGAACCTATGTGTATGTGCACATAAGCACACCCACTTTCCCTTTGCTTTGATGTCATAGTGTATATAGACAGACTTTCTCAAGACACAATAAGAGCCACCCTATGACCAAATTCTTTTAAAACTTTTGTATTGCAGATACAAAACAAAAGATGCGATATCCTGGCAAATTCATTAATACTCTTGTTGGATTAATAAAATAGTGTTCACTCAAAATACTAGAGTGAAACAAATAATTATGTTTGATAGGCAGGATCAAGAGATAATAACAGATAGCACATTCTTGAGGACATCACACCTTTTCAATATGAAAGAATAATTAAGAGCAGCTAGAGGACAGCTGCTTTTCATAATTGGCAACAGAAAACCACATTCAAATGAAATCATAACATGTCAGATTTGTTGATGAATTTTGATTAGCCAGTTTCTTTTTTCTGCCCCTGAAATGCCTTCATATTCAATAATAACACATACATACCATAATCTTTAAAAATAATGTGTAATACTTAAACATAATTTATTAATCATAGGTATGTTTTTCTTGAGGAAAGGAAGATTAGAAGACAGCCAATCTTCAAATATATAAATGACTGCTATGTAGAAAATGGAGTGGTCTTTCCCCCTGCTGTTCCAGAGACTACAACACAAATCAATAAATTCAAATTTTGAGATTCTACCTAAACTTTAAGCAATGCTTCTTCACTATCAGAGGTATTGGACAGACTGCCTTTGAGAATAGTGAAGGTCTTTCAACAGAGGTCTGATGACCAGCTACTAGGGCTGGGCGGTTTCGTTCGTTAATTTCGTAATTCGTTATTAATTCGTTATTTTTTTTTATAATGAAGCGATATTGAACCATTCAGGAGCAACTAAAAAACGAAACGAATTTTTCCAATTCATTTCGTAATTGTTTCGAAATTGTTTCGTTATTATTTCGTTATTATTTCCGTATGTCTGGTGCAAGTTTTATAGTCGTTGTTTGTTTTATCAGTGATAAAAAAAATTATCACACCAACAGTCAACAACAGAGGGAGAGGGAAGCTTCAGAAGTTCCCCCTGTCCCATTTGGAGGGTTTTTTAGCATATTGCGCAATCGCGTCCGCCATTAACGAATCGATTCATTATTGTTTCAAAACTGTTTTGTAATTTCCGAAATTTCGTAAATATCGAACTTTTTAAAAGAAAAATTTCGGAATTCTTTTAAATAACGAAACGCAAAAACCCCCTAAAAACGAATCGAGTTTAGAAACAAATTTTTCCGTGGTTAGACAGCCCTACCAGCTACTGGTCTCTAAACAAACTACATGGCAGGGACTGTGCCAGATGGCTTCTGTGGATCATTCCAACTGTAAAATTCTATGATGATATGAATGATTCCTTCATTTTAGAGAAAGATGCAAATGTATTTGTTGTCAGTCACTCACAGAACTTCTAGGCAGTATATAGAAGTAGAGAAAAGGGGTGCATCTGTAGAATTAATGTAGTTTGGCACCACTTTAACTGCCATGGCTCAGTGCTATGAAATCACAGGAGTTGTAGGTTCACAAGTCTGTAGCCTTCCCTGCCAAAGAGTGCTGGTGCCTCACCAAACTACAAATCCCAGTACTCCATAGCATTGAGTCAAAGCAGTTAATGCAATGCCAAACTGCATTATATCTGCAGTGTAGATCCACCCAGGAAAAAGAAGCAGCAGCTCCACACACTGTGTTGCCAAACATTCATCAAGAGAAATCAATGACCTAAATCTTTTGGAAGAAATCCCCTGAAGGAATTTCTTGAAACCACATTTGCACTTTGAACTCAGTTTGTGGTCATTAAAGTAAGCTGAAGACAAAAGGGGGGAATGGGAAAAAGAGAAGTTGGACACTCTAAAAGCATGCAATGACAGAGGATTATTTGGGACTATCTCTGCCAAATTGGGACAATTGAAGGTTATGTTGTAGTATCATTCCCAACAGTAAATTTGGTGTGGCAATGGCTTTACAAAAGCATCTAAGGAAAGATTCTTCACAAGGAGCCATCAAAACAAGGAGCCATTTAAAGAAGTACAATTTTTTTTCTGTTGAAATAGCTGAAGCTGATGCAAGATGGATAGGTCAAGTTCTGTGACCTCTGACATGCAACAGCTTAGGATAGGTAATTATAAATTACTCCTTCTAACATCAAAACTTTTGGAATCTGAGATTAACAAGGAAAGGATCTCAACAATATTCACATGACCTTTGTGAGACCCCTCGGTGCACCTTCATGCTGAAGGTAGGTGTTGTCATCTACATGTTCATGTCTTTTATCAGACAGAAAGAGCCTTGTATGATTAGTTTCCTTTGAGCGTGGTGTTTCATCAATGCATCTTATTGGCAAGAACAAATCATTTTACCGTATTTCTCCTCACTAGGAAGGGGTTGATGAGAACTGCACGGTTTTCGAATTTGTTTTCAGTTGAGGTTTCACTTTGGGTAAAAAATGCACCTTATGCACAGAAAATAAATTTCCTACACAAAAGTTCCATACAGAGATTTTTTCTTCATAAAAAAAGCATTATGAAGTAGAAAAACAAATTTCTGCACAAAAAACTTCACAGAAATTCCAGTTTTTGTGCAAGTCCTAACCTGTCTGTTTTGCACAGAATAAATCCCAATTTGTCCAACTAAGATTCACCTTGCCAGTTTTTCCTAAAGCTTGAGATTTGTGTTTTTAATTATATCCTAATATTTTTTTATCCTTGTTGATATGACTATGTCAATACTAGAAAATTACATCCATATTTTACTCATTGTGCCCAGTTGGAAATATGTATGTGTAATGAACCACAGTATAGTATGTTCTAATACAGGTCAGAAACTGTGCAGCTTCTCTACTTCAGGAGGATAATCAAAAGGGAGCTGTAATGGCAGTGTGGTACAGTGGTTTGACTGATGGACTATCACTTTGTGAGACCAAGGTTTAAATCCCCACTCATCCATAAAGACTTTCTAGGTGGCCTTAAGAAATTCATGTTCAGCCTCGGAGAAAGATACAGCAAACTTACTCATGAGAATGTCATCTTGAGGTCAAGATGTCTCCATAAGTTGGAAATGGCATGAAGACACATGACAATAATGACCTTTAGTACAATCGAAACAGTGGAATTTAAGATTATGAAAGTAACTCTTAAACACACCTAAGGAAGGGTATTTACTTTCATGTTTCTGCTATCTTGAAAGCCTTCCTTTCGATTTTTAAAAAATTCTCCTGGAGGCAAAGACTGAAACCACT